TTGCTCTTGACAAGAAGAGACCCATTGTTGCATCTAGGTGGCAGCTTGCTAGCTTTTAAGATCCTAGTCGCTACTTGCCAAAGTAGGAGGTGGAACAATGTTTTGTATAGTATGTTAGGGCAATTGAGCTTGATGTCCCCTGCAACTATGGTCCCAAGCCCACAGGTTCAACTACTCAGTCCCTCTGGGTAGCTGGCTGTGACCAAGCAGTGAACACAACCTTGCCCCTTGTCAGCTCTACTATACACCTGGGAATTCTGATCATTCACATGAATTTATAGGACCATTGTCTGCCAACCCTATATATATTCTTGGATACACTCCCCATTTCATAGACATACCTAATCATTTAGCCTGTCCACCCATCTATCCATCATATACCCATGTTTGCCTTCACTGACAACACAGTACTGTATGTGCAAAATGGTTCATATTTGTTGTCTGTACCTCCCATGTACCTCTTTATGTCTTTCTCATCCTCAATGCTTCCATATTGGTCACTCATATTTGGTACATTGCCCTTCTCTTCACCCAAATCAATACTTATCTCCATCTATCTAACAGCATTCCCTCCCCTCCCCTCCCACCCCTGGTAACCAACAAAGAAAATGTCCTTCACTAGATAAACCTTTTCTTAACTTTTACAATAATGGACTAATACAATATTTGTCCTTTTGTGATTGACTTATTTCACTCAGCATAATGTCCTCCAAGTTCATCCACGTTATGTGGTGTTTTGCAGATTCTACATTATTCTTTAGCGTTGCATAGTATTCCATTGTGTGTATGTACCATAGTTTGGTTATCCATTCCTCAGTTGATGGACATCTAGGTTGTTTCCATGTTTTGGCTATTGTAAATAGTGCTGCGATGAACATGGGTGTGCACATATCTGTTCTTGTCATGGCTCTCACTTCTTTAGGGTATATATCTAGTAATGGAATGGCTGGGTCAAATGGTATTTCTAATTCCAACTTTTGGAGGAATCGCCATTCTGCTTTCCACAATGGTTTTACCATTTTATAGCCCCACCAGCAGTGTATGAGAGTCCCAATCTCTCCACAACCTCGCCAGCATTTGTTATTTTCTGTCTTGTTGAACTTTGCTACTAGTGTTGGAGCAAGATGGTACCTCATTATTGTTTTGATTTGCATCTCTCTAATAGCTAAAGATCGTGAGCATTTCTTCATATGTTTGTTTGCTGCTTGAATATCCTCCTTGGTGAAGTGTCCATTCATCTCTTCTGCCCATTTTTTAATTGGATTGTTTGTCACTCCATTCTTTTTTATGGCTGAATAATATTGCATGGTATGAATATATACATTAGCTATTCATTTGTTGATCAAAATTTTGGTTACTTACACTTTTTGCCTATTGTCAATAATGCTCAGTTTTAGCTTTGTTGATTTTTAGTTGGTGGCTGTATAAATGAGTAATGTGAATGAATTAAGAGTTAAAATGTTATATAGTGTACTAAATCATAAAAGTCAAACTAAGTTAAAGAAGTGAATTTTTTGACTCTCATATATAGATAGCAACTAATTCTGAGTATATGATAGCATTATGCTGGGTTTTGATAGTGTAGTAACAGGTAGAACCTTGTGGGTTTGAATAGTCAGTAATGGAGGTGGCTTGATCACACCATGGGGACTAGTCAGAGAGGTTCAAAGCAAATCAAGTGAACATCTGAATCTTGAAGTCAAGTTCAGAAAGGAACTTAGATGATGAGCCATATTATAGAAATCTTTGAAGTGGATAAAACTTGATACTCAAAAAGCATATTAAACTTTCTTAAATAATCACCAGAGAACACAGGAGTTGAGAACCAAATTGGAAAGGGCACAGAATAATGTGGTCAGAAAGGGCACATATGCAAATCTGTTGAGAAACAAATATTGGATCAGGAAGTTTCTGGGGGTTTACATGGAAAAGTAGTGTTAGGAGCATAATGGTAAATATCTTCTATACTGCATCGAGGAATGAATTGTACTAAAGTTCAAGTATAAGCCAATAGGCTGGCTCAACTAAACGCTTAATATTAACATGACTGCTTTAAACTCTTGCCAATACTCACATCTTTGGACAGGACAGTCAAAATGGAAACATTCTTTCCTTTTGATTGAAAAACAAACAAAAGTAGATGAGTCTTTCCCAGAAGGGAAGCCCTTCATCCTCATCCTCAGTCAAAGATGTGAGGGTTTGCATCATCTCTGATAAGTCACAACGGAGAAAGGAGAACAAATACAACCTTTGTTGTATGTCAAGTTAGGGAAATAGGAGAAAATTGTCACAGTCCTCATTTGACATTATCCATTTAACTCACAAAATTGGCTCATTAGCTATTGCCTTAGTTCTCTAGTGTTGCTATAACAGCAATACTACAAGAGGATGGGTTTAACTAACAGTACTTTCTTCTCTCACAGTTTAGGATGCTAGAAGTCCAGGCTCTGGGGGAAGGTCCTTGTCTCCTTTCAAGGTCTGTGGGCCCGGTGTTCCCTCAAGATCTACAAGTGGCTTGGCATCATTTGTCCCCTGGGTCTAAGAAGTTCTTAGTTCATGGGCTTTGAGTTGAAAGAACATGCTCAGCTTTTCTTTCTTGGTGGTGGTCAGGTCCCTCCCTCTCTGTTCCCTTCTCTCTCCTCTTATCTATTGTAAGATAAATAGGTGATGTAGGTCACACCCCAGGACTGTGACTTGAGTAAGTGCATTTCATCCCACCCAAATCCTCTTACAGCTGATTGGCTGATCATATCACATTACATCATGGAGATGATTACATCACTACGTAACTGCCAAACCACTGAGAATCATGGCCCAGCCACATTGCCATGTATTTTTTGGGACACATTTCAATCCATGACATCTATATAAAATATAATTTTGTAGGAGAGTTTCTTTATAATTTCTGCCATGATTTTGACTGTTCCAGCATATGTATCTATTCGTTTTGCAAACTTAATCTCTATTTTAGTTTCAACTTGAAAGGAAAAGTATAAAAAAGAATTAGGAACATGTTACCCTTTTAATTAATTGCTTTTTCTCCCTTTCCTCTTCCCTGTTATCTTCCCCAAGTCCCTTCCTTAGAAAAACATGTCATCGTTGACAGTTCCCATGGCTTTCCCTGACACCTTAACTCTTGATTAGAGAAATGAAAGAATGATAAAAAAAAAAAAAAAACCCTCAAATTATTTGCTGTCAAGTCAATTCCAACTCATAGCGACCCTATGGGACAGAGTAGAACAATCCCATAGGGTTTCCAAGATTGTAAATCTTTATGGAATCAGATTGTCTCATCTTTCTCCCATGCAGTGGCTGGTGGGTTTGAAAGAGTGACTTTTTGGTTAGCAGCCAAATGCTTTAACCACTGTGCAACCAGAGTTCTGACATCTTCCTTACTCTCCCACAACTCACCACACAGAGCTGGGGACCTTGGTTCCTGATAAATCTTAAAGACGCTGGTATAACAAATAATTGGTATTTTCTTCAAAAAAAAAGAAATTGATTACTAGGATCAGTGTAGGTTCACTTAAAATAAGCCACATAAAACTAACCAAATTTCAAAAATACTGGAAAGAAATGTTCTGGGAATGTTAATTCTGAATTTCAACATGACCTATCACAAACCCTCTTATACTATCTGTGATTAAGACTCATGGAAGTGCAATTAGATGGATTGGGAAGTGATTAATTAAAACATATGAATAAATGTTAACATTAATCTGTAGGAAGATCTCTGGTTGTTTGCCATAGGTTATGCTCCCTCTCCTTTTTTTTTTTTTTTTTTTTTTTACTGTTCTTTTTAATGTATTGTTCTATAGCTTCGAAGGAATATATAAAAAGTATGGATTTGAAATTTGCTAATGAGACAAAGCTGGGAAGAATATTAAATACTTTAAATAGTACACAAAAGATTAAATATATTGTTTTCGTTAGGTTGTTATACTAAAAATATATGAAAGGACCTATACATTGATATTAAAAGAAATCAACTGTAAAGGTTTAGGAAGGAGGAGACCTGATGTGGTAGTGATTTATGTAGAAATGAGCTAGGGATTTTAGTTGATCAAAACTCAATATCAATAAACAGTAAGTTATGGTTACCAAAAAAGTTAATGGAATGTTAGGACAAGTTAATGTAATAGTCTAGAATATAGAATTTTAAATTGTACTTGGGCTTATCAAAGCAGACCTGTCATTTGTGCTTGGTTCTGGGCATTTTTAAGAGAGATGCAGAGTACTTGAGATGGAGTCTGAAGAAATGTCTATAAAATAAGTCTTGGAGAGTGGCTGAGGGACTTGGGATGTCTGGCTCTTAGTGGAGATATTGGGGAGTCATATAAGTAGTCTTCAAATATTTGAAGGATGTCAACATGGAAAATGTTTAGACTTGATCCAAGGGGCCCTAGAGATGGGATTAGCACATGGGAGGAAGTTAGAGGGAGGCAGATTTGGCTTTCTCAAAATAAAGACCTTTCTAGCAATTTTTATTCTGAAATGGGAATGGCTGTCTTGAAAGATGATCAGCTTCCCATCACAAGACACCTTCAAAGACAGACCTATGGGCTGGTTGTTGTAGTTATCTAGAGGGGTCATGTTTTAGGAAAGTAGACCATGAGAGCCCTGAAATACCTTCTGATTTCATGGACCCCAGCATACACCTCAGTGCCTGCATACAGTGGGTACTTAAGCAATAAGTGATGAATGAATGCATAAGTCTTTGAAATATAGACATTGCGTATCTCAAAGGCAACCTTTTGCAGACGATACATATTTTAGTCATGAGTGATTTCATGGCAATGAACAGTAACTTCTGCTAGTATGAAGAACAGGCCATCCTGGGAAAAAGAGGGCTTTGGTTTATACACAAAAAACACAGAGTTTTAAATTTCCTTGATAACTGCCTTAACTTTCTTGCTCTAGCAAAATTCATGCTTAGCATTGTAAGCTATTTCTGATAATAAGCAATGCCCCAAACTAACATGATGCTCTTTCTTTTTCAGGATAATCGCATCCACACATCCAAGTACAACATTCTCACCTTCTTGCCAATTAATTTATTTGAACAGTTCCAACGGGTGGCAAATGCCTATTTCCTTTTCCTTCTGATTTTACAGGTAATTTCTTAATTAGGTTCTATTTCTTCATAATCTGTTTGCTAAAAGCATCCTATGTTTTGAAAAAGTAAGCTAGTTTATTTAACTTAAATGCTCATGATTAGGTAAAATTATCCATATCAGATTTTGAAGGCTATTATTGCTGTTTCTCTTGACAAATGTGGGAGGGCTATGAGTGGGTAAAAGCTAGTACATTCATCATTTTAAACACTGAGGTCATTTTGAAATGTGGCCTTGCACTCTATTTGAACCAAACCAGAGGTTAATAATGAATGTTCATAGCCTCCCTCCTTTCTTTATCTCCTCTTACACTGACAGTGTGGAATTGCCAGAATTGAAGCAGAGTCTAGCTGAGTGGGCTGTGGGACGTAATTTGGCAAATTTCATTTTCATCTAAGAACAGTGACACATTTTATGTGTATATATAAAAATAAATGATGTATGCTATGTGCTATTGCACAGTAGGGTGACTATTTTTACAGTTAGTTTTTAGCAGCTAATTGATGTTTAATAACCTTTTTTTTTTTTTTTAACCTATCTGACTAAAATTAGTGCCTTTTCTTGTATTTTGGGGGAAGAAAAAGGCATAAGTAGAAATCAAAACATACACCCACATATATACATACACACTTCATGTTAGCCAGTTATTTACCTAGTATTTATTTTGCAGTATTTATTTTAATTTGATTAAATCAAATAAAATTTGATTTAATTTAATCAACTGATAGATTCAGAATGTGCTAGGCTCTGTGTTAGTTGTAGGAGGAAAGAAGACGGCCTGGATATGTGTAGTCTAGATTAATGGCTTTGAGTACTATTTTTTCTTTAACTGTATGATTATTAATATTGAAAATCTTTTGATTATAAGTGCCAGAAACTTAAGTTAAGCAAAAAGTGCATACATTTAGGGACATATTTCGTTTTATATATGGCTGGATTCATAGGCAAACTATGTTTTCAGGATGTGCCTTCTCTTTGCTGCTTTCCTTTGTGTTGGTCTCACTGGAAGGCCCTCTCTACCTGGTGGTCCCTGGCAACTTCAGACATATCTTTCTAGCTCCAACTCATAAATGAAAGTAAGAAAGAGAGATAGAAACACACACACACACACACACACAGACAAAGAAAGAGAGAGACAGGAACAGAGAGCATACCACTCCAGCAATAGTAATAGTCCTGGGATTAGCTCTGCTTGGACAATGCTGAGTTACATCCTAATCCCTGATCTAATCACTATGCATTAATGGCATGATTGACATGAACTACACCACATGTCTAAACCTGGAGCAAAGGTGAATTGGACCATGAAAATTATATGAGCAAAAAGTAGAGGATTGATGATTTCCTAAGGAAAATATGAACATACAGGTATATGTCACTTAACAACCATCTGGGCAACATTCTACTGCAAATAATCCCCAGTCTCATAAGGTTGTTTGTTTTTTAAGAGAAAGCAGCACGCCTTTTGTTTATTTTTCCCTGTGCCTAAGGCATTTGCCTGCTAACCGGAAGGCTGGTGGTTCAAACCCACCAGCCACTCCTCGGAAGGAAGGTTGGGTAATCTAGTTCCGTAGTAATACCACCTCGGAAACTCAAGGAGGGGTCGCTATGAGTTGGGTCTGACTCGACAGCAAATAACAACAACAACAATGTTTTTTAAAACCGCAAACCCACAGTGGGTTAAAGGCAGGTGAGGCAGGGGACATATCTCTGGATGTGGGCTTTTGGACTTTGTCCAGTGGGCAGGTGGATGTGGCAGCAGGGGGACTGTGGGGCCCGAGCTGCTCCTGCTGCTCAGGTAGGTAGAGCGTTGGGTGGGGCTGGGTGTGCTCTGCACCCTCCTTGCTCACTTCCTCTCATTCTGCTCCCATTGCTGTCCCCTAAGCCTGCTTCTGCCACTGCCCGTTCCTCTGGACTCTGCCAGCAACAGCAGCAGCAGCTGCAGGAGCAGCAGTGATGGCAGCAGTGGCGGTGAGGAGGATGGAAGCAGGCTCCCGTAAGGTTTTAATATGATGTTTGTACAACATCCAAATCACATAAGGTCCTTTTGTAAAGATGGTATTGTGGACATTAAGTGATGCATACCTGTAGTTGATAAGAATCGAATGCTGAATAGACAGAAAAACAATGAGTGTACATCTCACTATTATAGAAGACTCCTAGAATACAAGATTTCTTTCTACTCTTCTAACCTCCATGAAATTACTTTTGATTTCTTCATATAACTCTTACAGCATTCTAGAGTTTTGAGCTCATTCCTCTAATGGCTTTCTTATTTATGGTCAAGAGCTCTTGTCCACAGATGTTTATGTCTGGAAGGGACCTTTGGGATGATTTAGTCCAATTTCCTTTCTTTACTGTTGAAGAAATTAGATTCATAGATTAGGTGATGTGTAAAGTTTTCATAACAAGTTAATGATGTGAACAAAACTAGAATATAACTCTTCTTCCAACAGCCCAGTGTTTTGCTGCAATCTCAGAGGCTTATGAATTGATGTTTTTAAATTTTATGTGAAATTTATTATATAAAATTGATTTAATTTAGAGCTGACCTCATATATATCTCTACCTCATACTTATCTGCCTTGGTGACCTTAAAGCAGCTTCAAATTGAACCCCCTTTAAAAACCATCTGCTTAGAGAGTTACGTCAACTGTTACCATGTCTGTCATAGGTTTGGAGATAGACCATGTCTGTCATAGGCTTTGGAGATATAATTGCAAGGGAATAGGTTTAGAAGTCAAACAGATCTACATTCAAATTTTAGCATTGTGTGTTCTTGGCTCAGTTGCTTAACCTCTCAGTTACTTCATGTGTAAAATGGGAAAATGATACTAAGTGTTGTGGCATTTCCTTTTGGGAACCATTTGCAATATATTCTATGTTGTGCACTGTGGATGCTGTTTACATAGAATAAAAACCCTGTGGGTTTTTACAAAACAATACTGGTACAAAGTCTAACTCAAGGAACTTTTCAGATGATCAAATTACATGATTTAAGTAAAGTACCTAGCCCAGTGTTTGGCACAAGTTGGATTTCCAGAGAATCTCTCTTTTGAAGTTGGTTAGGAGAACTGGTGAAATTGTTAGAAGTCGAGATGATAACTGAGAGAGACAAGGGATGTTTAACATTATCCTCTGTGAAAGATTTCAAGTAGTTTATTCCTCAACTTGTTATAAAAATTTTATTTTTTGTTAGCTACTCTGAAAACTGGTTCAATGATATTTCCATTCTGCATCTTGTAGCTGAATGCAAATATGTGCATTATTAAAAGTCATTCTGCATTTGTCCAAATGACTAAGTATAACCTCATTTATTTGTGCCACATCTATAAAATTAAATAATAGAATATGGAAGATATATCATAACTTTAAAAGCTCTAAACTATTTAAAATATTTATTTCAGTTGATTCCAGAAATCTCCTCCTTGACCTGGTTTACCACCATTGTACCTTTGGTCCTAGTGATAACCATGACAGCAGTCAAAGATGCCACAGATGACTATGTGAGTATTTGCTCTTGAGCACTGCTGAAGTCTCAATGCTAAGTGTGGCTTCTTAGTAACAGAAAATGGAGATCTATCAGAAGTTTTTGGATGAAGCTCTTTTGATCAATACCATAAAACTCCTTTGCTATTTATTTGATGATTAATCCAGGTATCTGAGAGCCACAGTATGTTTAATCTAAAAGCAAGAGATTTTTAATAATTAGTCTCATTCCTTCATTTTACAGATGAGGAAATTAACTCTCTTAAAGAGCTAATGATTTGCTTATGACCATACAGCCAATTAGATAAGACCAGAATTGGAACACAAATCTATATTCACCCAGTGAATTATTGTTTATCCTATATTTGTCTTTGCCTAAGTTTTGGAAATTGGTAGCTATTACACACTCATCCTCTGCTCTGTATGCCAGGAGTTACAAAAACAAATGCCTTTAAGCCTCAGGGAACTAATGTAAATAAATGAAGTAGAAGACAATAGAGAATTTTGAAGACTGTATCCCCCAAAGGAGGGTATCCAAATTTAAAATTGAAAACAGAGTCTTGGGAAAACCAAATGTTCTAGATCCATACTAGTTATATCCACACCCTCTGTGATTGTATGGGCCCTATCTTCAATAACTACCCATATGACATAACTTACGTGTTTATATTCCCATCCCAGGCATCTCCTTTGAGCTTCATACGCATATTTCCTATTGTTTATTTTTTAATTTATCTGTATTTTTTTATTTAAAGTAGGCTTCTTGTAGACATCATATAATTGGATCATGCTTTCCTTCCTTTTTCTCTTTCTTTCTTTTAAAATCCAATCTGGAAAATCTCTGGCTTTTAATTGGAGTGTTTAGACCATTTACATTTAATTTCACTATTAGTATTAAGTTTAAAACTTTCATCTTTTATTTTCTTTCTATATGTCTTATCTATTCTTTGTTCCTGTTTTCCTGCCTTCTTTTAGATTAATTGAGTATTTTTTGTGACTCCATTTTATCTTTGTTTTTGGTTTAATAGGTATAATTCTGTGTGTGTATATGATTTCTCTAGGGTTTACAATATGCATCTAAAATTTATCATAGTCTACCTGGGGCAATCTGGCTTCAGAAAACTGGCCCTTAATCATCATGACTCTTTGTGCTAAACTACAAGGGGAATGCAAAAATGAAACACAGACCCTGAAGTTTAAAAAAAAAAAAAAAAGAAACTTCAACTTAAAATCAAGTAGGGGGAGATTAAACATGTATGCAAGTAAGAATAATGTTAAATGAAAAAGTTGTAAAGATAATATAAGAGAAACAAACTGTTTTGGTTATTTGCAAGAGGGAGATAAACCTCAGTGGTTGGATTGGTAAGGGATGGGAGGTATAAGGGAAAAAATTAGGGAAAGCTTCGTGGGGAAAGTGGTAACCTAGTTCTGCTAAGAGTGGTTGAGTATAGGAAATTCACATAGAGAGATTTGTACTTATCAAGTTGGTTCATATGATTCTTCCTGATAGCTGTTCTATGTAAAAATTTTTGATAAATCAACAGTGTGTTGCAACTTATTTGCAACATTTGGTTCTGTTATCCATAAGGTTGCAAGGAGTCAGAGCTGACTTGATGGCAACTAACAACAAGAGCAAAATATTTGTCTTCATATCCTACATCTCTATGAACATAGAATATAACTCTTATTCTTAATAAAATGGCTAACTTATTTCATGGTACATATTGAGACTATTGATGCGTGGTACACTTTTAAAGTTGGATTTTTAACAAACACACAGGATCTTATTCACACTGATGAATATGCCAATTTCAAGTTGGATATTCCTGAAATTTACCCATTTCTATGAGGTTGCCATTGTTCAAGGTACTTTGGGAGTTCCTTTTATAGAATTGCCTTCATAGTCAGTTTACAAGACACAGAAGAAAAGCAATCTCACAACTTCATGTTAATAGATCTTTTGAAACAGAAGCTATTTCTCAGCTCAATCACAAACATTATTCACCAGATCTAGTTTCTAAAGATAGCTTTTATGTGTTTCAACATAAGATAGGAGCTCTGGTGGTGTAGTACCTAAGGTACTTGACTGCTAACCAGAAGGCTGGCAGTTCAAACCCAACAGCCACTCTTGGAAGGAAGATTGGGTATATTTTTGTAATGATAGTGCCTTGGAAACCCAAAGAGGGGTCGCTATTAGTTGGATTCTACTCAACAGCAGTGAGTTTGAGTTTCATGCCTTTTCAAAGAAGAAAGAGTTCCATCCTCAAAGGATGAAGGATATTGCAAAGAATGGCTGTGGGCTCCAAAGTAATTCTAGGGGAAGATATTTCAACAAAGATTTGAGCAGTGGCATGTTTGGAGTAAATCTGGGGCTTCTCCACGTTATCTGATCTTTCAGGAAGATAGTACTTATTTTGATGCATTAGTTCCTTCATATTGGCTTTGAAGGTCTTATTTGTTATAGTAATACTTCATCAAGAGTAACATGGTAGAAAAAACATGGACTTTGGAGAAAGATACCTTAACCTACCATGTACTAGCATTGTGGCATGAAGCAAGCTACTTAATTTCTCCAAACCTTTCTTTGTTCAATAATATTAGCACTGTTATTAATACAACATGAGATGATGTATATAAATCACTTGGCTCAAATGGGTACACAGTAAATGCTAGTCCTCTACTCCTTTCTTATCCTGGTGCAGTTACCCTCTAAGACTTCATATGTATTTCTAGAGTAGATAGAAATTGACAAGAAGAGCCAGCCCGGATCCAAAACTACTGTTTCTAGTCCTTTCAGACTCCATCTACTCCTGTACCAAGACCTCTTGCAAAGCCTGTATGGAAATGGAAGTGGCCTTTTATAGAGGCCCAGAGAATGGGCTGCTCAGCTTTTAGGGGATGAGCTTATGGGTCCTTTTCTGTGATGTCCTGAAGGTCAATTCCAGGGACTATTTTTAGGTTAGGTATAGACATGATTAAACACATACACCTTCTTTTGTCTCTGCTACTTTAAGTTAATGCTTGGATATACTTTTATTTTTGTGATAATAAGTGCCTGTTCAATATACCATCCATTTTTATCAGGCCTAATCTTGGTGAGAAACCTGTCCCATATAAATGGGTAAGGACTTTAGAAAGTTTGGTAATAAAAAGACCATTCATAAAGGGTGTAGACAAGTGTTCTGGTTACCAAGTGCTGCTCTGACAAGAAATATACCACATATGGGATGGCCTTCACAATTCTTACAATTTGGAGGCTTTAAGTCCAAATTCAAGTGCCAGGCTCTAGGGGCTTTGTGAAAGCCCCTCAACCTTGGGGTCCAGCTCTGCTTCTGCTTCTGGTCCATTGGAGCTAGAGGCATTTCTTCACTCAGACAGCTGCTGGCTGTTGAAGTGAAAAACCCAAGGTTGACAAGTAAAAAGGCACAGTCCCGATGTTATCAAACCACATGGCAGGCCATTAATTCAAGTCCATTATAAGTCCCAAGGTCAGCAGAGCATGGCAGGCTGCTCAACGAAAACATGGCTACGTGCAGGGTCCGAGCGTGACCATTCCCAAGTCTTCTCCTTATATACAGGAAGCAGATCACATCCCAAAGACAGCCACTCAGCTGCTTGTGATAGATCCCATCATGGAGTTGATTGCCAGTCTCCTTATGGGGAATAGATATCACAAGCTGCCTAGCCACTCAACCAGGCCCAGCTGAGTTGACACACAAACATAATGACCACAACAAGAAAGCATGTGAAGCTTCTAGGATAGGAATATGAGTGGCAATATTGCTTCTGAGCCTCAAGACTAAAGAGCGAAAGCAGATACTAGACCTGGAGCTCTAGCTGAGGGCTGCTTGACATCAACAGGGTCTTTCTGTAGAGGAAGCAGTTGCTGCTAACCCAGCTAGAAAGAAGCCAGATAATAAATATCCCACTTCACTCTCTTTGGGTCTTCTCATTTTTTGCCAGTACTACCCATTGGCCAAGCCCAACCAGAAGCCAGGGAGTACACATGAGCTTACTACTTACCAGAGCACATGGCAGAAAGGGGAAGGATGGGAAGTGGATATGGGGGAACAAACAGAGAATATCCAACATCCCCACCTAATCGTGCACTCAGATAAAATAATGTTTCCATTCCTATTGCTCTATTTGGTGGGGAGGAGTTTGCATGTTCATGGGAGAGGTGACTTACTCCTTAATCAATATTGTAACTATTTTCATGTTAATAAATGCTAACATCCTTGTTTTCTTCTTCTTTTTTTTTCCCCCTGATAATATCCATTAACTTAGACCTAGCATTCTGTGTGATCGTATGTACTAGGCATGTTGCTGTTGTTATGTGCCACTGAATTGATTCTGACTCATCACAATCCTATAGGACAAAGTAGAACAACCCCAATGGGTTTCCTAGGCTGTGATCTTAACAGAAGCAGATCACCAGATCTTTCTACCACAGAGCAGCTGGTTGGTTCAAACTATCAATCTTTTAGTTAGTAGCCAAGTGCTTAACCATTGCACCACTAGGGTTCCTTTGCACCAGGCATAGAATAATAGAAAGATTAGAATGAGTTTGGGAAGGGTGCAGAAAATGGAAAGAGCTGGTTGAAGCACTATATGTATGTAATATTGATATAACATTTTAAATTAAAAAAAAAAAGAAAGAAAGGAAAAAGCATGGTCTTGATGATTACAACCTATAAAATTGAAGCTTCAAATCTCCTGATGTTACCTACTTTTCGTCTGTGAATTTAGGCTAGTTTGCTGAAATAACACCTTACTTCTACTTTAACCTATTATTATCTGATTTTGACAGCTCATGTATAGAAACTTATTTGAATGGATGGTAATTATGAGTCTGGTAGAGGGCTCATACTATTTGTATTCTTTGAAGCAATATAAGATGTTTATATTACTGCAGTATACAATATAAGCAATAAGGTCACTTAGGCATAAAAACGCAAATCCAAGTGCGGTTCAGTATTGTATTTTGATTTTTGTTTTAATGCTCAGTATTTCAGAAGATCACTGTTAACAATTAAAACTTCTAGGAAATAAAAAATGCATGTTGTTACAAGTAATAGCTTGACTTCAAAGAAATCCCAAAAACAGAATGAATGATGTTCCAATGAAGTATTAAGGACATATGTACGAGAAACGGATGCCCCCATCCTAGTTGAGGACATCAAAATCAATGTATGTTTCTCTCTGGAACCATGTGGCAGAGTCAGGAGCATACTGTCTTCTTAGAAGTAACTAAAAATGTGTAGGAATTGGAAGAACATGTGGCTAGACTTTTTTCTTTGGTGACATTCGGAATGAGGCTTAATGAGAGTGGTCTTGTTCAAGTTTAGAATGCATGGAGCTGCATTCAAGGTGTATAAACCATGCTCATCTCAGATGGCAATATTTTCCAAAGGGAAGAACCCAAAGTATTTCTAATGTTCCTATTTGAGCTGACAAAAAATGATTTTAATATGTTTCCTCAAAAACACTTTGATTTTTCAGTTTCGTCACAAGAGTGATAATCAAGTGAATAATCGGCAGTCTGAAGTGCTCATTGACAGCAAGTAAGAAATGCATTCTTTTAGTTATTTTTAATATTTCTGACACCAAAAAATAGGTCTTGACATTTGGTGACTTTCTTGTTTAAATATATATATTTTTTCCTCTTTAATCTATTAAAAATTAAAGTGTAATTCTATTTTATCTTCATGGCTCTCTTATATATTTAGCAAATATTTTTGCTACTTACTGAATTTCTACTTTAAATTCCTTTGGGGTTCTCTTATGGAACACACATTTAGTATTGTCACTTTTCACTACTGGGTCTAATACGATTAGAACTGGCAGATAGTGAAGTCTTGTATGTAGTAGATATTTCAGAAGCATTTGATTGAATATTTTGGTAGTTTCTAGGGACTATTGCAGGAGTTCTGGTAGTGTAGTGCCTAAGGCACTTGACTGCTAACCAGAAGGCTGGAGGTTCAAACCCACCAGCACTCCTCGGAAGGAAGGTTGGGCAATCTACTTCTGTAGTGACACTGTCTCAGAAACCCAAGGAGAGGTCGCTATGAGTCGGGTCCAACTCGATGGCACAGAACAACAACAACAACAACAACAACAACAACAAGGGACTATTGCTAGAAAGACTTCTAATACATTACTATGTCAAGTGATAAACTAGTAAGAATCTTGTAATCTCTTGATAGTTGAAATTTAGAGTGACTTATCTACTACAATACACAAATATTTTGAAAAATACTTTTAAAAATATTTTTTAGTTCTTCCATCAATAAAGAAATATTTCTAGGAACAGTTCTTGGATCTGAAATGTGTTTAAACGTACACACGAACACACAAACAACAACAAAAACACTGCCAAAAATTTTTAGTAAAGGTAAGTTTCAAAGCTTCCTTCTACTTTTTTTTTTAATTGTTGTTTTCTCTGTCCTTTTCTTGCTACTGATAGCATGTGGCAAAGTATATTTCTAAAGATATATTTCAATCTAGTAGTCAATCACAATGGCCAATAATTTTTAATTATTGGATATTCCTAAATACAGTTTTGAAAAGGAAAATCATCAAATTATTTAATCATGTATGAGGGAAAATTCCAAGAAATTATAAAGGTATCAAGAGGCACTAGGTAGCTGCAGTGCAGTGAATTACTTGGTGTTCTGGTCACCTAGTGCTGCTCTGACAAGAATATACCACAAATGGATGGCCTTAACAAACAGGAGTTTAGTCTCTTACAGTTTGGAGGCTTTAAGTCCAAGTTCAAAGTGCAAGGGTCTAGGGGCTGGGTGAAAGCCCCTCAGCCTTGGGCTTCAGCTCTGGCTTCAACTCCTGGCCCACAGAAGCTAGAGGCTTTTCTTCACTCAAACAGCTGCTGGATGCTGAGGCTGCCAAGCCCAAGGTTGACAAGTAAAAAGGCACAGTCCCGATATTACCAAACCACACAGCAGGCCATTAATTCAAGTCCGTTTTAAGTCCCAAGGTTGGCAGAGCATGACAGGCTGCTGAACAATGACACAGCTACATGCAGGGTTCAAGGTGCCATAAGCTAGAGACTATCCCCAAGGTTTCTCCTTTTATACAGGAAGCAGACCACATCCCAAAGGCAGCTACTCAGATGCTTGTGGTAGATCCCACCACGGAGTTGATTGCCAGTCTTATCATGGGGAATAACTACCACCAGCTGCCCAGCCACTCAACCAGGCCCAGCCAAGTTGACATACAAACTGAACTAGCACATTTGGTATGCCTTTTCTAGCCATAGTCTTTGTAACTCCCATTGGATTACTAGGTGGTACCATGCAAATTAAGTGTGTAGAACTCTGATGTTGGGATTGTTTAGTTTTGTCACTATGCCAGGCTTAAAATGAACCCTCCTAGAGGCAGAGGAGTATCTCAGTGCTATCAAGAGAGAAGAGCTGGAGGTGATCCCTGCACTGGACTTTCTTGGCAGAGATACTCCAACAGAGAGAGATGTCCCAGCAGAGAGAGATATCCCAGCAGAGAGAGAGAGATATCCCAGCAGAGGGAGATACCAGGCCAAGAGGCAGTCACAGTGGAACAAAGAGACATGAGACAGAGTGGCAGGCTTCTCTGGCCCACAGAGTGAGAAAACTGAGTGCCCTTGGGCAAGAGGCTCTTGGGCAAGAGGCTCGCTGATGCAGTAGGGTGCACCTATTAGCAGAGCTAAAAGAGCTTTGTAAACACTTGCCCAAGCAGGGCAGAGGCCAGGCCAAGAGGCCAACAGCCAGAAAGGCATGTCTGAGGGCACAGCAGAGGGGAGATGTCCTGGTTGAAGAATTGTATCCTGAGCACATTCCTGAACCTGGGAGGGATGGTTGATGTCAGAATTAGTAAAAGGTTGGAGGGTGGCAGCATGTCTGACCTCATTGGAATAAGCCTTAGGCTGCTGATAGTGATTCTGTCTTCCTTTTGTGAAGTTAGAGGAGGTCAGAAGATGCCACCTCTGCCCTTTTAGCAGATTTTAATTATTGGATATTGCTAAGTATAATTTTTAAAAGGAAAATCATCAAATGAATTAATCATGTTTGAGGGAAAATTCCAGGAAATTATAAAGATATCAAGAGGCACAAGAATACGTGGTAAGATTGATATACACTAATTAACCTGTTTCTATAACTAAAACATTGACTGATGGCTAATAAATTAATGTATGTACATACATTACACACACACACACACACACAATTTATAATTTTTCATCATTAGCTTGTGGGGTTGTTTGTTAATTTTGCAAAATGGGACTAAATGTTCACTGAAGAAAAATCATTTTAATCTAAACCATAGACACAGAGCCTCAAATTTGAATGAGATGGAAATTGTGATTCTACTGTGATATGAAGATGGCCAGGAGCCATTTGATTCATTTCCAGTGTTGGCAGGTTTTGAATAGTTGCCACCATAGTGTAGTGTTTAAAATATGGCCTAACACTCAGAGAGACTCAGAGTTTAGTTCTGCTGCTTAATAATTCTGTGATCTTAGGGAAGTTCTTAACCCCTGAAAGTGTCAAATTTCTCATGTGTAAAGTGGGGTATAAAAAACCCCACTGACATCATTGAGTCAATTCTGACTTATGACAACCCCCACTGGGTTTCCAAGGCTGTAAATCTTGATGGAAGTAGATTGCCACCCACAAAGCAGCTGGTGGGTTTGAATCACCAACTTTCTGGTTAGCAGCCAAATGCCTTATCCACCATGCCACCAGAGAATCTTACATGGATAGAGTTGTTGTGAAGTTTAAGTGAGCTAATGTAAAATGCTTGATGCAGTGCTTTGTGTGTTGTTATCACTCTACACTAAACCAAAAACCAAACCCACTGCCATCGAGTGGATTCCCATTCATAGCGACCCCTACTGGGTTTCTGATGTGGTAAATCTTTACGGAAGTAGATTTCCCAGTCTTCCTTCTGTGGAGTGGCTGGTGGGTTTGAATTGCCAACCTTCTAGTAAGCAGTCAAATACCTTAGGCACTATGCCATCAGAGCTCCCTCAAGACTCCAAGGTATGTCTAATAGTGCTCTCATTTTAAAGATGAAAAGATTAATAATAATAATAATAATATCAGGTTTACTGGTCTGATAGAGCCTGGTGAGACCCCTCCCCCAAAGCTATCGCCCCTAGTTACTCTTCAGGTCTGGAATTGAACTCATTCCCATGGCTTTCAGCGAAACAATAGACAGGCATATAGGGTAAACATTTACATCAGGTAGTTACACTCCTTGGAGCAATCAATTGTGGGAGAACAGTAGGTCAGTGTTTGCATAGGGAGATAGCTGGCAGCATGGGGGGGGGCAGGAATGCATAAGAAAGAAGGACACAGGGAAGAGGTAACTATAGGGAGGAAGTGGGAAGAGAGCTGTTACAATGTAGGGAATTGCAGTCAATGTCATGAAACAAAATGTGTATGAACAGCTGTATGGAAAATGTAAACTTTCACCCAAATCACAATACAAATTAAAAAGGGGGGAAAAAGATGAAAAGATTAAGGGCTAGAAAAGGAAATGATTATCCCAAAATGCCATGGCAAATAAGACCCTAAATGAGACCTCTTCTACCAACTCATGATGTAATGTGTAAGTATGGACTTTGTGGTCTGTTCATGTCATTAACTATTTATTTCATGTTTGAAAGGCTTTGTATACAATTATATAAACATAAACATAATGATATATGTAATTTATCTATGTCTAATAACTAAGGAATCCTGGCAAAATGGATAAGTGCTTGACTACTAACTGAAAGATTGGTAGTTCAAGTTCTCCCAGTGGCTCTGTAAGAAGATGACCTGATAACTTGCTCCCTTAATGGTCACTGCCTGGAAAACCCTATGGGCAGTTCTACATTGTCACACGGGGTCACTGGGAGTCAAAATCAACTCAATAGAACCTGATAAGAACAATATTTACCTATATGTAATACATATGCATACATACCCTCAATTTCAGTGCCTGGAACATTATTCAAATGTGTTCTCAGCATTGTATAAGTTGTCATACTGAATACTGTAAACCTAAGCTGCAAAATCCACCACTGGTCTGTCAGTTGTCATATTGTTGTGGCTTGCATGTTGCTGTGATGCTATGCCATTGGTATTTCAAATACCAATGGATCTGTTTGACAGATTTCAGTGGAGTATCCAGACTAAGATAGACTGGGAAGGTAGACCTTGTGGTCTAATTTAGAAAACATTGGCCAGTGAAAATATTATGAATAGCAGCAGAACCTTTGATATTATGCCAAAAGATAACCCCTCAAGTTGGAAGACACTCAAAATATGACTGGGAAAGAGCTGCCTTCTCAAAATAAAGTTGACTTAATGACATGGGAGTTCTGGTAGCGTAGTGCCTAAGGCATTTGACTACTAACTAGAAGGCTGGCAGTTCAAACCCACTAGGCACTCCTCGGAAGGAAGGTTGGGCAATCTACTTTCATAGTGATACCCCCTTGGAAACTCAAGGAGGGGTCACTATGAGTCAGATCCTACTTGAGGGCAGTGTGTTTGATTTTGATTTTTGGTTTTAATGATATAGA